AGGGTCCCGGCACGTCCCATTCAAAGGAGGAACCAGCGTGTAAATCATGGCGACATCACAGAGCGCGCACAGACAATGAGGATTATATGAGCGCGGTGCAGGTGTGGAGTCTGATTTACATGTGGCCTTTAACAATGAGGGGAATAAAAGGTGAGGGCTGAGAGGAGGCCAAAGGGTTTGTTTACTCTGGTGGTGGAAGTCAAGGGGTTAATTATTTTATCTGCAGTTTTATAAAACCAGAGAATAACGGTTTGTTTCTGGTACAATGCGTCAATCTCAGGTTCAGGCTCTTTCTCCCTTTTTGTTGGTTACTTTGAGGTGCAGTTTTATTTTTTATTAATTGATTCTTTTGTATTTTTTGTTTGTTTTCCTGTCTGTTCAGTCTACTCTACTGTACTCTCTCGGGGAGTGTTTCCACCAACCCTGTTTAACCAGTCCCAGGTCCTTCTTTAGTCTCTCTTGGTCCTGGTTCTATCCAGGCCGAGCCAGTAATAAAGAATTCCAACTAACAGTGATCGGCCAGAGTGCTGCTGGGAGCCACGGCTGGAAGACATTTACACTGAAGCTGGATTGTTGAGGGTAGGTGGGCAGATACCAAAGCGTAATGGGAACACAACCAGGTAGAGTCAGGGCTGGACTGGGACAAAAAATGGCCCGGGCATTTTAGCTTCTTTGGTTCCTTTCATGTTTTGTTTTTTTTAACGGTTATTTATACAGTATGCGGAAGCACGTATAGAAGCTCAGGTTGTATGCAGTTTCAACAATTAAAATAATGTGCAGTGATCTACATTGAGAGTAATAAACATGTCACTACAGAGAGAGGAAGACGGACACAGCACCACAACTATTGTTTGTTACAGGGACGAGAATGGGACATTTCAAAGAAGTCTGAAATGTATAACATCAGCCAATGGCTGTCATTAAAGTAGCAGTATGTAATATTTGCATGTCAAGTCATCATTAAATGGCCTCCATATTTCAAAAAGCGTTATTAAATCATGCTCTTTTCGAATTCATCTTTAACTGATAACAGTAGTTATATGATTTTGATGTCCTACCCTCCGCCACTTCGCTAATCAGGAAGTGTCATGGAAGTCCGTGATCGGGTTGCCAGAACTCCGCGCAGCTCACTAATCTTAGTGGTAAAATAACATGTGGCCACAGAACTAAAAAAGGTCTTGTTATGACTCTCAAATAATTAATGACAAAACAAAGACTAAAACGAGGATTTATATCGGGACGCCTTTGAACAATTGAGACAGCTGATAAAAGTTTACGTCTGATGCAAAATTTGCTGCTTTGAGTCCGTTCTTCAGAACATATCTTACCGCGCGAATCGGGGGTCTAGTGGATTAAGCTATGCGCTCACGATGCAGTAACCCGGGTTCGATTCCATCCTTTTTGTATTGAATTGCGTGTTATCACATTCTATGACAGATTGCTCTAAAAACGGTAAAAAGGTCAAGAAGTTTTTTTGCAGATTATAGCTTAATTGTAAAAAGAATAATTTGAGACCACATGTATCCAATTAAAATAATGTTAGTCTCTTTTTGATGTGGGACTTATACATGTTTGTCTAAAAAATAGGGAATAAATAAAATGTGAAGGTGATATCCTCTGGAGCAAACCCTGATGTTGATACGCTGAAGAAATATGTTCCAACATCCATTCTTCCCACTCCTATTTTGGACATCAATTGCTTATTAATTTTGGATAATCTATAATTACATTGCTTTTATTTTGTTTTGTGTTTTTTATCTCAAATGTCCAAATAAAAATAACATTTTTAACATTCATTCAACATTAGCATGCCTCATGGAAATGTGAATGGAGACAAACAACTGATAAAACAATTCCTTGTGTTTGCTGCTGGATTTGGTGTGTATCTGGCAACCTGAGTCAGGGAGAGTGGGAGAGGACTACAAAATATTGACTGTGACTGCAGTACCACTTTTGGCCAGATTTTCACATATTGTTCCTTTAAATCTGTTTGATTTGTTCACAACATTTTACTTTTGGGCACAACCAACATGAACTGTTAATGCAGCAGGAAAACCAACGTACCTCAGCGGGAAGAGACACGGGGGAGACGTGGACTGTTTCTTGCAGCGCTGTAATTATTGTGTGCACTCGTTACGCAAAGACACGCACACAACCAGCACAGTATGGTCCTGTGGGTGTTTATGGTCTTGGGTGTTTATGGTCTTGGGTGCATGCTCCCGTGTTGTTGTCAAAGCGGCTCAGAGACAGCTGCTGGACGTGGGAACCGCTCTCTAAAGCGGAGAATGTGGAACCCCGTTTGAGATCGTACAGCAATGAACAGCAAGGGCCCCACAGTCACCGCGCCCCCCTCGAACATTTCTTTAACAGATTTACACATTTCTCAAAAATGTTTTTTGTATGAGACTGAGATTCCGGCCCAAATATGAGCATCGGCCCTTCGGGCACTGCCCGGTACGCCCGATGGCCTGTCCAGTCCGTGGTAGAGTTGAGCAGAGTAGGGGCCGAGTCGTGCTGGTGGAAACAGGGCTTTTATATCCCTTGTGCACCAGACTTGGACTGAGGCTGTAAATCCAGAACTGAGACTGTAGATCCAGGACTGAGGCTGTAGATCCAGGACTGAGGCTGTAGATCCAGGACTGAGGCTGTAGATCCAGGACTGAGGCTGTAGATCCAGGACTGAGGCTGTAGATCCAGGACTGAGGCTGTAGATCCAGGACTGAGACTGTAGATCCAGGACTCAACAACTACAATTCATCAAACCTTAATTCTGTCTCTGTTGACGAGTTTATTTAATACAGGCCATGTTTCCTAATTGGGTGACTGACAGGTGTGAAGTCCCGCCTCCTTGTTCAGCTGCTCTAAAAAGTTAATAACAGTTTACGACTGTTTTGTTGAAAAGTTGAACAAACACTTTTTCAGGCGGGAGGTTGTTGAATGCGTGGCCTTTGACCTTTGCGGCGTCTGCTGTCACTTTGGACACGATAAACCCCTAATTATGCACCGTTGTCATGGAAACTCTGGTCTCTGTGAAAGATACCGCGTGAGTGCTATGGTTGAGATGAGAACTGTGGACTTTTGTCTGGATTAGATTAGATTAGATTAAAAGGAGTAACAGCATGTAAAAAGTAAAATCAGTCATGAAAAACCTCTATGTTTTACTTTTTATGTTGTGTTGTGTCAGGTCTGCTTGTCTATTAATGCTAACCTGCTTTTTCTTAACTTTTTCTAATGTAATGTGATAATTTATGATTTAAATGCCTTGTATGATTTGTATCTTGTTTTTGTTAAGCACTTTGAAATTCCTTGTGTATGAACTGGCCCAATAAAGAAGAGCTCATGGACAAAGTTCTTACTCAGATTGTGTAAGATTCATTATTTTGGCTTAAAATATCCACGGTTTAGCGTTCTCTAAAGCCACCAGCAAGTTTCCACCAGCTCTACTCTACTCTTTTCTACACTACTCGATTTGAAGAGCCACTTCAGTCCTGGATCTGCAGCCTCAGTCCTGGATCTACAGCCTCAGTCCTGGATCTACAGCCTCAGTCCTGGATCTGCAGCCTCAGTCCTGGATCTACAGCTTCAGTCCTGGATCTGCAGCCTGTTAATCGGTGGGAGCAGATCCCTCTCTCAAGGCCTTCCAGAGCTGTGATGATCAGAGGCATGTATCGCTCCTATACAGTATGTTTCTTGCATTTCCTGTGTTTGAACTGTTTGATTCTCTGATCTGTTGTTGGCAAATTGAAAACGTTTTAATGTCATCCGAAACCACTGCTGTGAGGATTTAGGGCTTTACACAAACACATTGCAGTGAATTGAGTTCTTACTGGGTCAGTGTTACATTGTAGAATGGCTGTTGCTCTAATAGAACTACAGAATGGAATAATCTGTGACACAAATATATCTCCTAAGGGTAATAAAAGGGTTATCTCGTTCCTCAGTGAGGCTCAATGTTTGGGGACAGTGGACATTATGACACAGGCCTCCTCCCTCCTCACCCGCTCCCCTGGGTCGTGGATCTGGTCGCTCCCTGGTCCAAGGGCAGTTGAGTCTTATCTCAGTCTCTCAGATGATAATCTCAGCTCCTGCCTGTTGCCAGTTTTACCCCAGGGCCCCAACCCCACCCCCCACACATACAAATACACACACACACACACACGCGCGCGCGCGTACACACACAAAAACACAGACAGATAGACACACACACACTCACACACACACACACACACACACACACACAGGTAAGGCACGGGAAGTTTTTTTGAATGGAATAGTTCATACACAAGGACATTCAAAGTGCTTAACAAAAACAGGATAGAAAAAATCATACAAGGTATTAAAATAAATAATTATGAAAAAAATGTATTAGAAAGAACAGAAAGAGACCAGAGAGCGACCAGAGAGAAACCAGAGAGAGACCAGAGGGAGAGCAGAGAAAGACCAGAGAGAGACCAGAAGAGAAACCAGAGAAGGAACAGAGAGACCAGAGAGAGACCAGAGAAAGACCAGAAAAAGACCAGAAAAGACCAGAGAGTGACCAGAAAAAGACCAGAGAGTGACCAGAGGGAGAGAAACCAGAGAGAGACCAGAGAAAGACCAGAGAGCGACCAGAGGGAGAGAGGAGACCAGAGAGAGACCAGAAGAGAGACCAGAGAAAGGCCAGAAAAAGACCAGAGAGTGACCAGAGGGAGAGAGACCAAAAAAGAGACCAGAGAGAGACCAAAAGAGGGACCAGTGAGAGACCAAAGAGAGACCAGAGAGTCAGTCGATTTGTGCTGACAAATATGATAGGACTTTGTGACTGTTTTAGTTTCTTGCGGCTTGGCCCAGGGATTACAGAGAAAAAATCTAATAAATAAATAATTGTGATGTCACTTGAATGTAAACCAAATATGAAAAAAATTGCATGTTACACTCAGCAGCAGCTCTGATCGTGACCGTGCACTTGTCCGAAGCCAACGTCTTTATGAGTGAAACTTAAATCTCAGCCTGAAGGCCTCATGTCTGGGGGCCGCTCTCGTCTCTGTGCAGTGGGTGAATGGGTGTCTTTTGTCTCCCGTGTTTGGGACGTCCTGGATGTTGACCCCAGACCCTGCAGGTCATTAGGGGAGCGACTGCAGATGAGAGATACCACATAATTGTAGCGCAAACACAAAGCATGCAGGCCCCAGTGATTCTTCTCTGCAGACAAGTGGTGATAAGCCCAACGCGCTTCCTCAACTCACTTTCCCAGGAGAGAAGGCCGGGGTCGATATCTTTACTCCCAAAGCTATGCAAAGTCAATTATTTGGCCTCTTCACAAACTGATAAGATTAACACTGGGCCTATTACTGAGCCTTGAGGTACCCCACTTTAAAATAATAGCAACTTTAGATCAGTTTCTAAGATAAATAACAAACTACTTCAGTGCAACAATATCAATGTTTTATGTACATTTTGTGAATGGAGGAATTAGTTGAAGTGAATTAGACACATTTATTTGTCAATTTATAGCTCCACCTAAAGACTTCTTTTCACACCTTCACAGATGACAGCAGTCTTTTCAAACTGTAGTAGTTAGAAGACACTGCTGGGACTCCTCTTCTGAACCTGATCAGAAGTCTCCATCCCCCAGTTCTCAATAGTGTATGTTTCCCCTTTAACATCTATGACACCGTGGAGTCTTTTGTGGTAGTTGTGGATTAGGTTCTTTATGCTCTCTGGTCTCTCTCTGGTCTCGCCGTCTGGTCTCTCTTTGGCCTCTCTCTGGTCTCTCCCTCTGGTCTATCACTCTCTGGTCCTTTTCTCTGGTCTCTCTCCCTCTGGTCAATCTCTTTCTGGTCTCCCACTGGTCTCTCCCTCTGGTCTCTCTCTCTGGTCTCATGCTTTGGTCTATCTCTCTCTGGTCTCTCTATGGTCTCTCTCCCTCTGGTCTATCTCTATCTGGTCTCCCACTGGCCTCTCTGGTCTCTCTCTCTGGTCTCATGCTTTGGTCTATCTCTCTCTGGTCTCTCTATGGTCTCTCTCCCTCTGGTCTATCTCTATCTGGTCTCCCACTGGCCTCTCCCTCTGGGCTCTCTCTCTGGTCTCATGCTTTTGTCCATCTCTCTCTGGTCTCTCTCCCTTGTCTCTCTCTGGTCTCACACATCCTCACCTGTCCCCTGTTCCGCCCCTCTCTGTCCCGTCTCTCCTCACTGAGCTGTTTGAAGTCTGTCGCAGGAGAAAAGCCTCATTCAGGACGGCTGCCTCCACACTCCGCACCTGACGTCTGTTAACAGCTCTACAACGTCACTGCAGAGAAGAGGGGAGGGGAGGTGTGGGGTAGGAGAGGAGGGGAGGGGAGGAGTGGGGCAGGAGTGGAGGGGAGGGACAGGGGAGGAGGAGGAGGGGGTCCTTCTTCAGTAGTAATAGTAGTATTCTTTATATTCCGCCTTTTCACTGCAGATCAGAGTCTGCAGTGTAGTGTAGCAGTTACCATAGTTATTTTTGGGCATTTGTCTCTCACTCCACACAGAAATAGGAGCAGGGGCGCCAGTACAGGAGGCGCATGCCAGATCTATTGTGCATGTTTTTAGTTGTAGGGGAAACCGGAGTACCCGGAGGAAACCTACGCAGACACGGGGAGAACATGCAAAGTCCACTCAGAAAGGCCAGGACCTTCTTGCTGAGAGGCGAGAGTGCTATCCAATCAGCCACCGTGCCGCCACAGTTTTTATTGGCCCTGGTTCTATCCAGACCGAGCTGGAACTAAAGAGTCCAGAGTGCTACTGGAAGCCATGGTTACCAAGGAATTTTCCTGGATAAGGGTTTCTTGTGGTTAGGTTGGTATCAGATACTAAAGCGGAATGGAAACGTAACCAGGTGGAGTAGAGTAGAGTAGAGTAGGTGGAAACTGTGATATTGACAGGTTGTTGGAGCGTGTTTTAGATGGCTTGCATTTGGGGTTTGAAGCCCGAAACTGAGAGAAGATCAAATATGTGGGATTTTTCCCCAATTTCATAATGAATTACATCAGTTGCCAAATGCAAACATTATATCTGATTGTCAAACCCTTTTAATCTGTCACAGAAAAAAAGTTTATGAAGACGTGTTGGAGAAACGGACCAAGAATGTTAAAATAAATGAAAAGCGCACAAATTATGAAAAAAAACTGTAACATTTGGAAATAATTAGAAAACATAAAATACTGAAATCCTGAAATACTAAGGCTGTGTCTCTATTGACGGAGCAGCCATTCTCATGGACCCACCACCTGCAGAGGGATCAGTGAGGGGCCGGTGCTATGAGGATTGGGCCGACCCAGAAACAGACTATAAAGGAGATGAAGATGAATGAATGGATGGAAAAAACATACAAAAAAACAAAAAAATAAAACAAAATGCCAACGAACAGGAGAAAATTCATTAAAAGTAATGCAGAATGAAATGTGCATATAGCCCACAAATCCACCGATCTGTAACTCCAGCACTGGTTCAATCCCAGTCTCAATCTCAGACCAGTCCCCCCTCCCTCAGACCAGTCCCCTCTCCCTCAGACCAGTCCCCTCTCCCTCAGACCAGTCCCCTCTTCCTCAGACCAGTCCCCCCTCCCTCAGACCAGTCCCCCCTCCCTCAGACCATCTCTAACTGTGATTCTGCTGCTGTATCTCTGCATCAGCCGCTGACAGAAGCCTCAGCTCGGTTCCTGCTCCTCTCACCAGTCTTTGTCCCCCCTGCCCCAGGACGCTGCAGGAATGTGGGCCAAGCACAGGTGGAAGTCCAGTCTGTGTCCCCCCTACAGACTGTGACCCCCCTTAATTCTGCTGCTGCTGTGGTTCAGAATGCAGATGAAAAAGGACTTTACTATAGGATCATTCACACTGAGAAAAAACACTGGTGAAGCTAAGAGTGAAGCTCTAAGTCCTGAGGTAAAAAACAAAAGAAAGAACCAAAAGCATTTCAATGGAGAGACGAGGCCGACACAGAAAAATCAACAAGTAAGGGATAACGTATATTACGCAGGTCGTTATCGGAAAATAAGTACAGACAGGGCGAAGGTCTGCTTCCGCCCTGAAGGTACCTATTTTCCGATAATGACCTGCGTAATATACGTTATCCCGCTTATTATACGGCTTTATACCAACAGAACACACAACATAAACTTCAGTCCACTTTTTGGAATGCCGAAAGGTTTATTTAATGACAGAAAATGAAATAGTTCCCAAAGGCTTTCCCGTGGCTATGCTAGCAACAGTTAGGCTGGCAACTTCCAAACTAGAACTCTCTGGAACTGCATGAAAACTGAACAAAGAATTCTGAACATCAGCGGTGAGTGACCCAAACATAAACTTAACCTAAATCAATAATTCGATCCTCTGCAAATGTGTCCGAAAATGTGCCAGTATCTTAAAATGTGCCGGTATCTACTTCCGGGTTTTTCGGGATCGCCTTTTCTCGCATTACATCAGTGTTTTTATCATGAAAACGTAAACGGAAAATTCTGAAAACTTTTGTGCACTTGTATTAAGACTGGATATGTATAAATTACTCTCCGATTAACATTTCATTGCGTTGATTGATTGGCATTTGCGTTTATTGAGCGGCCGAACTACTCCCGGGTTTTTCACAATCGCTTTTTGACGCAGAGAAATAGTATTTTTGTCATGATGACAAGACCAGAAAATTCTGAAAATTTCCGTGCACGTGTGTGAAGAATGTATATGTATAAGTATTCTCAGATTAACATTTAAGTGTGTTGATTGAGCGTGGCTAGCTCCGGAGTGGCCGGAACTACTTGCGGAGTTATCCACGCATTTGAAAGACAAGCAGAGAATGCGTTGCCATGGGCAGCGGTCATTATTGTTTTGAGAGGTCCGTTATAGGAAATAATGACCGGTAGAACGTTTTGAAATTACATTCAAATCAATGGAGCGTTCTACTGCTGCTGTGAGGAGCCGTATAACAAGCTAATTTAATGCATATTAATTTTAGTTTGGCGCAAATAATCCGGCTCTGACTTTGGTTGAGGGAAGATCATAGCTTGTGTGATGCTTTATGATCTCCGGGGTCTCTGCACCAGTGGTGGCATAAGGGCAGAGTGGAGATAAGAGCATATGCCTGAAGATCCAGAGAAGGAGGGGGGGAGGTGGTGGCTGCGAGAGCTTGAAGAAGGGTTAGTTGGTTTTAAACTGCCGGCTTGATTGGCATGGGTTGGCATTGAAGTTGGCAGCGCTGTGTGATAGGCTAAGAGAGAAGGGGGCCGGCCCTGGATGAGATGGGGCTGCAGCAGGGAGCCTACCAAACTGAATTTACACTTAAACTGCACAACAGAAAATGCAAGTGTATTGAAATGAAACCAAAAACAGGATAGTAACAGGAACAAGACAATGGGGAAAGACAATGGGCTGACAACAAGAGGAGAAGATCACAGGGGATAAATACTCTAACAGAGACATGGGTGAAATACGTGATGGGAGAGAAAGATGAGGGTTCTCTTCCAGGGCATCCTGAGTAACTCCAGACACCCTCTGCATAACACTGAGCAGAGGAGAAACCGTAAGTTTCTATCACTGCTGCGGAACAAAACGTTTTAAGAGATGCCTTGTTCCTTTGGCTGTCAGACTGTTCAAACAGATCTGTCTGAGATAAACATGAGACTTTATTACTAATCATTTCTAGAATTATGCATTTATTTACCTTTATATGGATGGATGTGTTTCTGTTGCTATCCATCCATCCATTCATTCTATCTCGAGACAATCAACACAGATAGAAGAAAACTCAAAGGACACAGGATTACCAATATTTCTAAACAAAGACACCAAGACACTCTGAACATCCGCGTTTGAGCTTCTGCATTCTCTGCTCTTTGTTAGACTTTTTTTCATGGCAAAACAGTTTTAGAGCTGTATTTGAAATAGAAATTTGTCAAGAGTTTGTATAAAACCAAAGGATTATTTATTATTTTATTAACATTTGGATGAAATGTTAAGACTGCCTTGTTCCAAATTACCGTATATCTTACTTTTACCCCAATTCTTCATTATCAGTTATTTTCTAGATTATTAAATGACCCTTTAGTCAACATATCAAATATACACAGGTATATTTTCATGTATTTATTGACCTTTTTTAGTAAGTAAGTAAGTAATGTTTATTTATATAGCGCATTTCTTTACAGACCAAGGTCACCCAAAGCACTTTACAATGTTCAGAGTTCAGATATTGTTCCAATCATTCCACACACGGTGATGACAGAAGCAAGTCGCCGAACACACTGGACCATCAGCTCCAATCAACACCATCCATCCATTCTCTCTCATTTACATTCATACCTACAGTATTGTGCATGTTTTTAGTGGTAGCGGAAACCTGAGCACCCGGAGGAAACCTACACAGACACAGGGGGAACATGCAAACTCCACTCAGAAAGGCCCTGTTCCGACCAGGATTCGAACCCAGGACCTTCTTGCTGAGAAGCAAGAGTGCTATCCACTCCGCCACTGTGCCACTTTCCTTTTTTAACCAGGAAAGTCCCACTGAGAGCCCCAGCCTCAAACGTTGCTCGATGTCTTCTTGAACATGTGTTTGGTTGGTGGAGTTGGTGGGTCGGCTTTAAGCACAAACGCGAGGCAGGATTTGACGCGGGAGCCAGACCAGGAAGCAATAAGAGCGACGATAAGGATCTGGGCCAGAAGAAGGAGGAAAGCAGAGAGAAGCGTTTGGAGACTGTCTTTTCCATTCAGATCCCAGCGGAGGTTTGTTTTACCAGTTTAATCGGAATAAAAATACACATCGACTGAAGGTAAAGTGGGAAAGAACCGTGGAAAATGAAAGCTTATTTGAAAGTTGCACTGGACCATACAGCGCTCGCTCACACACTACTGTTATTAAAGCGCTTTCTCTTTGAAATGGGAGAAACACAAGAGTCACGCGAGAATCACGTTTAATAATTTGTTTGTAGGCTGTAAATGGTCAAATAAACAAAGGTATAACTCAACAATTAGTCTTCATTGAAAACAATATGAGGGTTAGGCGAGGAAACAGGGAAAGAGAGTTTTAAAGCTGGTTCCGGATATAGTTCAATTCTGTTCTAGTTTAATTGTATTTGTGTACAGCCCTAAAATACAACAGCAGTCATCATTTACAAACAGACTACAGAATTAAACAGCTTAAACACAGGAAATGCAATAAAAACAAACCAGTGGGGGCGTCTCCCGGCTCAAAAATTTCCAAAATGACGTGCGCGGAGATGCTTGCAATACCACCCCGGGCCAGCGGGGGTAGATCCGGAATGAGAATTGTTCAATGCAAATGTGTAGCATCTTCTTACCGCTCGAAAACGTCTTTACATGATGGTCCAAAAGTCGGCTCTTGGACCAAAGCTACGTTCCGCATGTGTGTCAATGCTGAGGGGAGTGTATTCTTTTGGACCAGTCTAGTTTAGCCGCTGTGGAATTTTGAAGGCGCTCTTTAAATGAATGGTGATCATGCAGCTAACACATGCGCAGATGCGTTTCTTCACATTTTCCAACCCCCGCGGCCATTTTGAAACTGCCCGTTGATGGCAGAATATCTACAGTCTACGTAACGAACACATAGGAGCTATCGGTTCATTGAGAGCGGGATGATCACTGTCCATAAATGTCCAAAACACACAAAAACATTAAAAACACATTCATTGTTGAGGTGTTGATGAGGAGGAGGGTTGCGGCACAAGCTGAAGCAGGAGAAAGGACGATACCAGTCTGAACTTTTGCATTTGCTTCATTTTCTGAGCGAGACACAAAGATACTTGTCTCTCAGGGTGTTGTTCTCAGTGAGGGAAGGGTTAAGATGAAGAGATCCTTTTCATTCGTCCCACAGTGGGGAAATTTCAGTGTTGCATCACCAGTCACAGAACAGTAGGAATGAGTAGCACACAAGACAAATAAACAATAACTAAATAAAATAAATCTCTAACTCTAGCATTAAAAGAAGCAGATGGAGAGTATGCAGTGGTGCGGCCCCTGCGTGAGACTGTTTTGGTGAAGAGGGAGCAGCGTCTGCAGTCAGAGCTCTACGTCTGAGGGAGGGGACTTTAGGTATTTACCACACAAAAAACTAGATCGAGGATACAAGCAGTCCACATGAGTTTCCTCTGCAGTGTGGAGCTATAGAGATCAGTCACTCGGGAGGAGCTCGGGGTAGAGCCGATGTTTCTTAATGTCAATAGGAACCCGTTGAGGTGGCTCAGGCTGCCCTCGCAAACCTGGCAAAAATAAATAAATAAAGTAAATAGATTTGTGGATGAATTAACATGCGTTTATTGTGATTTAATGACAAATGTGTCTAAAAATACCTGATGTGCATTAGTTTCAGTCCCATTTATTTTACTTTTCAGCAGTTTTTGGCTCATTTTACAGTATCAAATATACAACCATATTTGAGTTTGATCATTAAGATCCATAAAACATCCCAGATAACTCCCCCCACATTCCCTCAAACCCTCTCCCTGAAGTCGTCTAAATGACTGATGCGTTTATTTCCACAGGAATCCGGCCCGCACCGTCAGACCAAAGAGCTCCTCGCAGGACTGAGCGCTTTATGGAGCACTTTGCGGGTTAAGGACGTGTGGCGCTGGAGGAGGTGAGGAGGGCGGCCATGTTTGTTTTCCTTCTGCTCCGGGACACACATTAGAACCCCGGGGTCGCTATGGAAACAGACAGAGGTCACGCCACGTCAGGAAATGTCGCCGTAACTCAAACCAGGTTGAACGCAGCGAAGCGGGTTCAAAGTCAAAGCCCTCACTGACTCCGACTTTTTAAAGGAGGTGAAAGACACGGCGCTGATTTGTAAATTTGGTAATCTTGATTCAAAAACTGTTCGAGGCGAGTTTATTTGTACAGCGCGGTTCATACACGAGGCAACTCAGTACATTAAAAAGAGTGAAAGTACAATCCCTCAGTTGTTTTCAGCGTAAAGAACTGTTTGGATTTGAACATTGTCAGAGTAGAAGCCTGTCTCACATTCTCAGGAAGACTGTTCCAGATTTTAGCTGCATGACTCCGAAACGCTGCCTCCCCATGTTTAGTCCTGACTGTGCACGAGCCGAAGACCGCCAGGCTGCTCTACAGTCTCAGTTTTTCACAGATTTATCAAAATACAAGACACACATTCCCTTTCATGTAGCTGCTCACCAAAGCCGGCTCTCATCTCATCTCTGAAGCTAAGCAGTGTGAGGTCCGGTTAGTGCTTGGATGGTAAACTGTGGCTCTAGTGCAAACTGCTGCTGTGTCCGACGAGATGCTTCATCCAGGGTCAGTGAGGATTCCAATGCAAAATGCTATTAATACTATATTTAAACAGGTTCCATATCACTCCATCTGAGCCATCATCGTGCTTCTGCTTCATCCAACCCCTTTTCAAACCTGTATTAGTGTGAAGAAATGTTATTCTGCAGGGTTGAAATAAATCTAGCTAACTGAATTTTGTCCCAAATATATTTCCTGTGGTTTCCTTGTGTAGTTTTATAATTGTGAAACTTGTTATCTAATTCATAAGTACTCCTTTGATTGATACATTCATTGATACCAGTATTGTGTTTGTAATTGCATTGAACACAATACAATACAATACAATTCATTCTTGTACAGCCCTAAATCACAACAGCAGTCATCTCAGAGAACAAAACCATTGAAATCACCAACACAGATCAAAGAATCAACAGTTAAGACAAAAAAAATATAGAACATATAGTATTGGTTCATAGGGAGAGACCAATGTCCATGAATGTTGAGAAATGTCCATACATGTTGTAGAATGTTAAAGTGTCCTGGATCTTCACCACGGTCCTTCTTGTTTGACACTAACTTTCCAACAGACCCTCCTACATCGGCAAGGAAATACACTAAAACCCAGTGGGAGAAATGTGAGAAACCTCGGGGAGACCCACATCGAGAGAGGGATCCGCTCCACACGGACGGACGGGCTGTAGATCCAGGACCTGAGCTACAAAATACAAGGACATAAGAACAAACAGTGAGGTCTAGTGCAAAATCAGCTTAAAGCATCTAATATCAATAACATTGTCAGCTTCAGTCTCTCTCCCTACTGCCTCCAGACAAGGTGAGAAATGTAGGGGTAATACTGGACTCAGACCTCACACACACATAAAATTAATAACATCAACAGCTTTTTACCATCTAAAAAACATTGCCAAGATCAAAAACATAGTGTCTAAAGCAGACCTGGAGATTCTTATCCATGCATTTGTCTCCAGTAGGTTAGACTACTGCAATGGCCTGCTCACAGGTCTGTCCAAACAGGCTGTAAAACAGCTGCAGTACATTCAAAATGCAGCAGCTCGAGTCCTGACAAGAACCAGGAAGTACGACCACATTAGTCCAGTCCTCAGGTCTCTGCACTGGCTTCCTGTGGCTCAGAGAATAGACTTTAAAACAGCTCTGCTTGTTACAAGTCTCTCCATGGCCTCGCACCAAAATATATTAGTGACATGTTGGTGCCATATGAGCCGGCTCGGACTCTGAGGAGCCCAGAGTGAGAACCAAACATGGGGAGGCTGCGTTTCAGATCCATGCTGCTAAGATCTGGAACAATCTCCCTGAAAATGTGAGAGAGGCGTCTACTCTGTCAATGTTCAAATCCAGGTTAAAGACTGTTCTGTTTGCCTGTGCATACAACTGAAGGATTTTATCTCCATTTCTAATGCACTAGGGTTATTTATTTATTTATTTTTTAATTCCTTGTGTAATTTAAAAGTTTTAATGGTTTAAATTTTTTGTGTGATTTGAATGTTTTAATTGTGATTCTGGTGTTTGTTTTTATGTGATGATTTGTGCTTTGTGATGTGGACTGCGAAGCGCTTTGTGTTGCCCTGTGTATGATAGGCGCTCTACAAATAAACATTGATTGATTGATTGATAAACGGGTTCCATATATACATTGGTTCAAACTGGAGATACCAAAGCGCATGCATCAGGGTACCCCTATTTCGATATCAGTATTTATATATTTACTCTTCACTCCCTTCCGTCTCCCTCCTGACTCTGCTCTGCTCTCTATCTGCCCCATTACTCCCACATATCCCTCCATCGCCTTTCTCACCCCTCCCTCCCATATTTACTCCAGTCCCCTTGTACTCCTCTTTCCATTCCTCTCCCTCAGGCTCCCAAACTTCATTTACACAGACATGTTTAGCCAGCACAGGAAGCAACCCATGCCCCTAACAAAATTACTGTCCGGTCCGCGAGCGCGCCGCCGGGCTGCTCTACAGGGACCAATCACGGGCCTCTCCTCCAGCCGCCATTTCCTCCGAGTTGGGCCGATGTTTTAATACCTCACCTCTCACTGAAGTACTCCGTGGCCTCTCTAATAGACTTTGAATGTTGAGATGGCGCTGATAAAGCCGGTAGTGGACGGTAATGGGAGTAGATGTAAAAGTGCAGAGATGCTATCACAGCGGCGCCTCGGTCATTTGAACTGTATTAATGACCGGCTATAGTTTCTACCTGTTTATGTTTGATGGCTGCAGTTGTGCTCCTTCATTTCGGACTGTTATTTAGACAGGGATATTACCGTGTTAATAATGGCTTCGGAGAGAGCGAGTGTGTGTGTGGCTGTAGAGAGAGTGAAATTGGAGAGTAATGAGGTCAAAAGACTTCAGGATCAGAATCAGAAATCTTTTTATGGCCATTGTAAGTAACAGGAAGGCCCAAACTAGGAATTTGCTTTGGTAAATGGTGAAGACAAGTTATAACAAAGTGAGACATAGGCCTGCATAAAACATCTTAACAACATTGGAAAATACAAATACACACAATGGACATTTAACGGTGAAGATTATTGAGAAGTGCCCACAGATAAGAGGTTATAAAGTTATAGAAGTGCTTTATAACGAGAACTGTTGAGTCTGTCACTGATAATAATTCACTGGTCACTTTACCTGCTTGTTTATTCTGATCATATTCTCTGCTGCTAAAGTACAACACACACAAGTACCAAGTGTAATTATAAGTCCAGATTTTTATTTTATTTTTTCATCTTATTACTTAATTAATTTTATTATCTATAATCCTAAATAGTTCCTAAATGTGTGCAATCTGAGTACTCTTGTTTCTCTCTTTTTTCTCTGCTGTGATGTACGCAACGATGACATTGACATTTCCCCACTGTGGGACGTATAAAGGAATATCTTATCTTATTTATAACTTAACAGAAGAGTTAAGTAAAGACTGGGCTCTAGTTATGACTCTAAGGCTGCCATATTTGGGAGGTTATTGATGCAACAGGGGTAGCAAATGGATGGATGGTGCTTTGAGTTGCAAGATGGTTGGTTGAATGGAGGCAAACTTTGTGAGAAAACGGCAAAAAACATTGGCCTGATGAACGTTTCGCTTTGAATAAAAAACAGTGGAGTTTGCCAGAACAGTCTATGACAGTTTTTTGTTGTTTTCATTGTAGACATTCCCAACAATTTATTTGGAGATATTTAAAAAGGCGGACAATTCACAATCATAGTCTGAAAATGCTCTGGTTGATAAAGAGAGTGTGTGGACGAATCTGTGCTGATTTTTGACACAGATACGTCCACTCAGATCTGTCCTGATATTAGCGACAGATGGTTAAAACCTCCAACGAGATGCTGTCACACAGTATGTCTACTTTAGAGGTAGGGTACCAAACTATCAAACCACAATCAATGAAATGTGATGTAATAGAATCCATCAGACTCGCTCCTCGCTCTCAATTTCTTTCTCTGTCACATTTCTTGGATTTCCTGAGTTTGAACTGTTTGATTCTCTGATCTGTGTTGGCAAATCAACAACTTTCTAATACCCTGCGAGATCACTACTGTTGGGGTCTTAGGCAATACAAATCTTTAAATACGCTTTTTCAGACAGAGATGAAGACAGCGTGTTGCGGTCTAATTTATTCCCAAAATGTTACTTTCTGTTGGGAAAAAAACATGTGGTATCAGTCTCAGACCCAAGCAGGGCGAGGCAAGGCAGGTTTATTTATATAGCACAATTCATACACAAGGTAACTGAAAGTGCTGAACAAAACAAAATAGAGACAGTCACACAAGGCATAAAAATCATAAATAATCGCAGTAAATTAAAAACAGCGAAGATGAAATCCCTCAGTTGTATATGCACCGCTAAACAAAACAGCTACCACAGTAATTAACCATTATATCACTTGTATTTTCAAATTAATGGGTCGTTCAAACTATTTTTTTGTGACCAAAGCTATTATTTATGTCTAATCAGTGAATCAGTGAAGATAATCTGAGACGTGCCTGTGCTATTGGTTGTAAAGCTTCATAATTCGGGCTGAGAACACATGTACCCTCAATTTATTCCCAGAAAAATACCTTTTACAAGACTATTTCTGATGGAACAAACAACATGTGTTATGTATGAAACAAATAATATGAAGTACCCGAGCTTTAACGGTGCTGTAGTCCCAGTTCCACCCCCTCTGTGTGCGAGTGTGAGAGCAGGTCAAGTGTTAAGTGTTTGTGAAGAGGCTGATTTGTTCCAGATACAGACCACAGCACTCAACACCACTCACACACCTGGGGATGACTCTGATTCATCTCTTAAACTCTACTTTACGGGAAACGAGCAAGAGTTAAAGAAGATGTGCTCAGAGGAGGAGAGGAGGTGTAAATCACAGGCTTGTATTCACTCAGATCTATGTCTCACTGACAGCAGCAGAACATGGACCAGTGGACTCTCTCCTTCCAACGGATCAGTGAGTGGATGCAGAACTACTTTGTCCAACTAAACTTAAACACAACTGAAATGATTACGCACTCCCTATTTGTTCTAGCCTGGCCTTAGCCATCCGTAAACTCCGGTCAGTTATCATTTCCCTGCATGTATGGTCTGGGTGTGGTCCCTGTGTCTGCAATAACATCGGTTGAATCCCATCCGTCCAATCAGCGAGCGCGGGAGGCGGGTGTTGTAGAATGAGTTTGAGTTTGTGAGAATGCGATAGTAAAGTAATTTGTTCTGGTTCTATCAAGAAATTGAAGCAGCAGAAAGAGGAATGTTTAGCAAATGTAAATGTAAACCCCACAGGCTCCATTAGTGGCAAAGGAGATGGCTAAAGCTAGGCTAAATGCTAAATGCTAGAGACTCACTCGGGTGCATTACATACGTCACTGTAAACTCAGATCCAATCGTTTCAATCTGCAAAAGGAGTTAACCCCTCCCACCTGTTAATGGAGCTTAATGGAGCAAATCCAGACCTTAATACGAAATAAAATGTGTACAATGGTGTAGTACGAGCATTTTTATTCCATCCATCTTCTTCTTCTTCAGCCAGATTTTGTCGTGTTTCATCTTCAACGCTTTCGGCCATTTTCCGAGCGTATACCTCGTTTTGTTCGGTTTCCTCGTCTCATGAGGGTTATTGATGTGTGTAGGTGGAAAGGTTTTAAAGGGTGTTGTAGGGAGCACAGGGACTGGCCTCCTGCTGGGACGCTCAGGACCTGCTGGTGCCCGGAGTCAGGACCAAGCATGGGGAGGCAGTTTTAGATTTGTGCAATTAAAAACAGCCTGTTCAAATTCATGTATAGCTTTCAACTGAAGGACTGTTTCTCCACTCTTTTTCATGTACTGCGATTATTTATAATTTATTTGTTTTTCTTTTTTTGTTAAGCAGTGTGCAAGGCCTCAACTCAGGCCAGTCCCAGACCAAAGCAAGTAACTATTTTTTTAGAAACCACGTTACTCACCGTATGTCTAATCCGTCAACCTGCTTTTATTGTAGAAGATTATCGAAGAAAAGTGCCCGTGCTATGTTTTGTAAGCAGTACAAGTATCAGAATCGGGGCTGAGAACACTGGATTGTCTGACATGTACCTCTTTACGACCGGCCGACTGTGCGTATATGTCAGACCTCTACATGCCGCTGTGTATAGTGTGTTAAATAGAGGGTGTGTGTGAATCGGCTTTTGTCCCGTCCATAGACAGAGGTGTAAAAGGAGCAGGACGTGCACTTTTTGTCCCGGGACACTCGATCCAAGCTGCAGCAGAAAAGGAAAGAAGGATCTGTTTAAGACATTCACACCGGCGTCCATGTGAGCCGACAGATTTCATGACAAAAATGAATTAATGTGAAACTGTGTCTGATTGTTCCTGAAGTGTCCGGTCTTCAGCACGTGGACAAAGAGGAAGACGTTGTATTGTGTTGGAGATAGAAGAAAATGATTGTATTGGAATCACATTCTTGGTTTTTGGCGCTGTCTTCCAACCACCGGTGCAAATATTATACAGACTGAGGACAACAAACACCAACGCTGGATAAAAGAGGGATTAGAAATACACAAACGTGATCTTATAGGATTATAAACCGGGACGAGGGGGCTGTTTTAGTGTCACACACCTGGGATTCTGTTATTGAAGAAATCAGATGGATTCTAGAGTGGGAGACAAAAGAAAGAGTAGAGAGACCACAGAGAGAGACCAGAGTCAGAGACCAGAGGGAGTCTAGAGAGAGAAAACAGAGAAAGACCAGAAAAAGATCCGAAAAAGATCAGAATGAAAGATAAGAGAGACCAGAGAGAGTGACCAGAATGAGAGCTGAGAGAAAGACCACAGAGACCAGGATGAGAGAGAGAGAGAGACCAGAGATATAGCAGAGAGAGGAAGACCAAACTAAAGTAATACCAGAGAGGAAGAGAGTGACCAGAGAGAGAGAGAGAGAGAGCGAGAGAGAGAGAGAGAGAGAGAGAGAGAGAGAGAGAGAGAGAGAGAGAGAGAGAGAGAGAGAGAGAGAGAGAGAGAGAGAGAGAGAGAGAGAGAGAGAGAGAGAGAGAGAGAGAGAGAGAGAGAGAGAGACCAGAGATATAGCAGAGAGAGGAAGACCAAACTAAAGTAATACCAGAGAGGAAGAGAGTGACCAGAGAAAGACCAGAGAGAGACCATGGAGAGAGAGAGCAGAGAGAGACCATGGAGAGAGAGAGAGCAGAGAAAGATCAGAGAGACCACATTGTCAGCTGACAAGACACGGCACAGGAACATGACGTGACCACTCTGAGGACGATGAGGCAGCAGTCCAAATTGTCAGGTATAAAAAAATAAAAAAAACACTACAGTCCTTAAAAACGTTTAGGATTCTTGCGCCCGAGCAGGACTAATAAAAGAGTGCTGATTTTGTGCGACTTAAATAAATGTATTAAGTATTGATAGATTGTGTCCATAAAGCTCTGTGGCAGTGACGCGGTGCCCTGGTTTCCTCTGGATCAGTTTCCTCTCAAACCAAACGCGCCGTTCGACTGCGGAGCTAATTAGGAAAAGTAAAGCATCTAATGACGAGGTCTCTGCTGCCGACGACCTGTGTCAAATGGCCCTTTCACAACAACCCAACCAACCCAGCAAATGCAAGCCGCAACAATATTACAGTGAGAAGTGATGTCGCACAGTCAAACGTTGCACCGTGCACTTTTGGGAACGTTGTTAAATGTTTTCTATCACAGTTTATGAGAAAAATATGAAAAAAACCCGCTTACATGAGGTCACTCTTTGTTTGTGTTGACTTCATGTAGGCAATGAAATGTTGTAATGAAAACACATGAGTCAAATGCAAGGCCCCCCGAGCCAAATCTGGACCTTTGAACCATTTTTAGTGGCCCCTGATATGTTTCAATCGCTATGATTAACTTCCCACACGCACCCACAGCACCCAGACGAACCCACAGCACCCACAGCACCCACACGCACCCACAGCACCCAGACGAACCCACAGCACCCACAGCACCCACACGCACCCACAGCACCCAGACGAACCCACAGCACCCACACGCACCCACAGCACCCAGACGCACCCAGGCGCAGCCACAGCACCCAGACGCACCCAGGCGCAGCCACAGCACCCAGACGCACCCACAGCACCCAGACGCACCCACACGCACCCACACGCACCCACACGCACCCACACGCACCCACAGCACCCAGACGCACCCAGGCGCAGCCACAGCACCCAGACGCACCCACAGCACCCAGACGCACCCACAGCACCCAGACGCAGCCACAGCACCCACAGCACCCAGAGCACCCAGACGCACCCAGACGCACCCAGACGCACCCACAGCACCCAGACAAACCCAGACGCAGCCACAGCACTCACAGCACCCACAGCACCCACAGCACCCAGACGCACCCACAGCACCCACAGCACCCACAGCACCCAGAGCACCCAGACGCACCCACAGCACCCAGAGGTACCCACAGCAGCCACAGCACCCAGACGCACCCACAGCACCCAGACGCACCCACAGCACCCAGATGCACCCAGACGCACCCACAGCAGCCACAGCACCCAGACGCACCCACAGCACCCAGATGCACCCAGACGCACCCACAGCACCCACAGCACCCACAGCACCCAGACGCACCCACAGCAACCAGAGCACCCAGACGCACCCAGACGCACCCACAGCACCCAGACGCACCCACAGCACCCACAGCACCCAGAGGTACCCACAGCAGCCACAGCACCCAGACGCACCCAGACGCACCCACAGCACCCAGATGCACCCACAGCACCCAGAGGTACCCACAGCAGCCACAGCACCCAGACGCACCCACAGCACCCAGACGCACCCACAGCACCCAGATGCAGCCAGACGCACCCACAGCACCCACAGCACCCAGACGCACCCAGGCGCACATTTAGCATCAAATAATCTGTATGTTTATAGTGTAAGTATCACCTTTGTCTAATTGTGTACGTTTGTATGTTGTTATTATTATTATTGTTATATATTTGTATCCGTTCTTGTTTGTTTGTTGTTCTTGTTGAATGTTGATGTATCCGTCTGTTTTGTTGTCTTTAATAAAGGTTAAACAAAAAATAAATAAAAAACTTCCAGCCTTGATAACAAGACGTTGTGGCTATTGTATTCTTAATTTCAGAACAATTTCTTTCCAAAAAATAACCACATATTTTAATGCATTCTAAAGTTGGAAAAACCCAACATTATATTTTTTCCTTATATTTAGATCGGTCACCAATTAAACTATAAATATAGAATGATGTGGTAAATCATTCTACAATCAAAAACATTTTTGCCCTCTGTTCAATTTTCAAACTCATTTTGTTCAGAAAAAATATCAATACAAGAGGTTTTAACGTTTGGTTCCAAATAGCTGCTAACTTAAACATGACTTTACATTGTTTTCAACTCTTAGATAATGGGCTTGAATAGAATGCATTTATTTTATCTGAGACAATGTATAATAAACATTAGTCTGATAATACACACACTTGCACTAACACGCACACACACATACACTCTTGCACACACACGCTATGTTTTGTACCCCAGCTTTAGTGTAACAATTCCAATGCTGTACGGTGGAATGAGGACAAAAAATTTAAAAAAGGTACAGACCATAGACTGTAAGTACAGACACAACATTATCTATTATTAATGATATATATATAATTACAGACAATCTCCGTGTGTAGTTCCATGTTTGTGGCTAACCTGTGTTCTGGCCTATATAACAGCCGCTTCCTCCTCCCTCTACAGTTACACATTGCGTGACTCATAATATCATTACATGTTTATATTAAGCTGTTCTCCTCTGAAACTGTGCGTGGCTTCGTCCCGCCTCCACCTTCTAAGATTACCCGCTTTAGCCTGGTAGCTTTGTGGTAGCTTTGTTAGCTCAGACAAAGACGGAGCAGCACTCAAATAACAAACTACGGCGGTTCTATAAGACAACACCTCCTATGAAAGCAGCAGTCGTGTCCCGTGTACGGAATATGAAGGCTTTGTTCGGCACTTTACCCGTCTTATTTTACTGCGGGTCAAAGCTCTTCAGATCCTGCCGGGAAGGATCTCGTGTGCATGCAAATCCCAAAGAACGGGTGACCTCAAAACAATGTAGGAAAAAGACATGGAAAAACAACGTTCTCTTTTCAAACTGTGGTCGGACAACGTGCAGTAAAACAGTTGCAGCTCGAGTCCTGACTAAAACCAGGAGGAACGATCACATTAGTCTAGTTCTGCAGGTCTCTGCACTGACTTCACTTGTTTGTGATGTGAAACATGTTTGAGTGACTCATGTGATGCTGCAGCCCCACCTTTTATGAGACGGCTTCTCATGATGGAAAAAACCATGGGCCCGACGAAGGCCCACGGCACATCTGACGTCCAGCTAATGCAGGGAGTCAGACTGGGACACGTGGTTCTCTGTGCTAGCTCTACTGATTCCTCTCTGTCGTCTGTTCCTCCTCCCCACTACTGCCTCTTCAGTGGAGAATCTTCATGTTATAGGCTAACTTTCTTCACCGGCAGGGTTTAGACACGGGGGATTCACAAGCCCGAAATAAATCCCTTTTGCATCGGTCATGCAGTATTGCTGCCAGGGTCTAATCACCAAACCTTAAAGGTACATAGGAGGATTGTCCCAACGTTAGGAAAGAACTGCCCTCTCCACTATTTGACGAGCACGTACTGTATCACCAGAATGAGTGACAATTGGACCACCCTGACATTTTCATTTTCACCCTGAGGTAGAAATCCCTACATTCACATTGCAAATATGTAGCATTATACAAAGTGGCAGAGTTTTGCAAGAAAGAAAATAAATCCACAAAAAGTAAACTGATCATATCAAGACAAGGATATTCAACCTTCTTCTTTAAGCACCACTTTTTGAATCCTTTCATGTTCTTTTTCTTGTTTTAGTATCTTTTCTCTCTGTTATTGTTGCACTGAATTGTAATTGTAGCACTTTTTCCTGGAAATCTAAGCTGCATTATGAATAAACTATTATTAATACTACTTCATCTCACTCCTTTACAGGCAGCAGTGAATTTTAGAGGTAATAATCACAATCACAGTACATTATAACGAGTGAAGACACAATCCTTCAGTTTTATGCACAGCTACTGTACAGAACTGTTTTTAACCTGGATTTGAACATTGTCAGGGTAAAAGCCTGTCTCACATTTTCAGGAAGATGTGAGACATTATTAGTACCTCTTCTTGAGTCTGCTGGGTCTAATTGTCTAATCAGCAGCTACAATGTATCTATACAGACATGCAATAAATATAAATCTAATGTCTTGAGTCTCTCCATATTTGAATAATGTTATCTATAAGACGGACTCTAAAGTTCTGACCTGAGAATATCTGTGTCTGTCCTGAGGCGACACCAGGATGTGCCTCATCCACAGCCACAGTTGTCGGTTCTATTCCTCTTATGCACTTAAACAACAGGAAGGAGCACAAAGGTGGTGTAACTGCGTCTTCAGCGAGTGAATGAGGCTCATCACTCATTCACACTGACAGATGCTCAAAGTGCCGTTACAAAGTGCTCCCAGGAGAGACAGATAACAGAGTGAGAGGAGGCTAACGTCGCAAACCGCTCCGATTCCTCCGTGAACAGCCCGGATCACATCCCACACCTCAGCTCCAGCCAGTCACCGTAGAGCCATTGTAGAGTTACAGTAGAGTCACAGGGGTTATTTCTGAAGTCAAAAGATTTATTGGTCCACTAAACTCGTCAGACTAATTTCCCATATATAGAAAAATATTCCATAGTATGAAGACTACTCCAGCCTCAGTCCAAGATCTACGGCCTTAGTCCTGGATCTACAGCCTCAGTCCTGGATCTATAGCCTCAGTCCTGGGTCTACGGCCTCAGTCCTGGATCTACGGCCTTAGTCCTAGAACTACAGCTTCAGTCCTGGATCTACAGCCTCAGTCCTGGATCTACGGCCTTAGTCCTAGATCTACAGCCTCAGTCCTGGATCCACGGCCTTAGTCCTAGATCTACAGCCTCACTCCTGGATCTACGGCCTGACCTTGATCTACAGCCTCACTCCTGGATCTACAGTCTCGGCCCTAGACATACAGACTGAGTCATGAATCTACACGGCCCCAGTCGTGGATCTACAGCCTCAGTTCTGGATCTACATGTTTTTGAAGTGGTTTTTCATTGATAAGATAAGATAAACTTTTTTGATCTCACACTGGAGAAATGTACATGTCACATTTGGCACAGATAGAATCACTCAGATTGTGCAAAAGACAGAAGTGTGCAAACATGTTAAGGTTAGAGATATAGATTGTGCAGGATATAATTATGTTCAATAAAAAAATCAGTGACTTAAAGTGACTTGTTGTACAGTCTGACAGCAGTGGGGATAAAGGCCCTGCGGTAGCGCTCATTCTTGCACTGAGGGTGTCTCAGTCTTCCACTGAAGGAGCTCCTCAGCTCCTCTACAGTCCTGTGCAGTGGGAGGTGTTGTCCATGATGGAGGTGACTTTGGTTAGCACCCTCCTGTCCCTTACCTCCTCCACAGAGTCCAGGGGGCCGCCCAGAGCGAGGGTGGCCCTCCTGTTCAGTCTACTCCTGTCCCGCTCTGTGCTGCCCGGAGCCCAGCACACGGCAGACGCTACCGCAGAGTCGTAAAATGTCCTGAGCAGAGGCCTGCTCACTCCGAAGAACCTCAGCCTCCTAAGAAGGTGGAGGCAATTTTGGCCCTTCTTGTACAGTCCAATGGCTCCCATGTGTTTGTTATTATTGTATTTCCTGGGTTCGAACTTACTCGATCCACAGCCATTTGCAATGGAATTCTCACCAACCTCGGTATGAATTCAACAAACTGTGCATTTAAACCAGAAAGATGCTGACCATGCAAATAGAACCAGATTAAAGCCTTTACACTGCTCAGATGTAAGTGGATTATAACAGAACCCAAATTCACAGAAACACTGTTAGTACCTGCAGAGCCGTCACTCTGAAGCTTTGTCAATCCACATCCATCAAACTGGATCCATAGGTTTGAGCGGCGATAAAGACTTTTGACTAAACGCCGATGGTCAGAGCTCTGTGTAAAAGGATCGCTGTTAAACTGGACACGTGTGCAGTAGTTAAGTGGTCAGTATTGGATTGTGACGACGATTGTGAATCAATGAGAGAAAGACAGATGGAATCCCCACAATAACCTGCTTTCTATTGACGCTGGTTCTATTGTGCAGCAGCAGCAACAATTACAAAATGTGTCCCCAAACTTTACATTAGAAGGATCCAGCACTATAACTCCCATGGAGTGTACATGTTTGGGTCTCATAACTTTGTCACTTTTTCTGTTTTTCATATTTAGTTTTTCCATAATATTTAAGATACAATTATTCTATGTCCTAATTTATAGTAAATTATTGTTCTTTTAAAATTATGAGTAGTTCTAACTTTAACTTCCACAGCAGTCATTTTAACTGCTCAAGGTCTTGGTTCTACTGAGCTTCCTGTATTTCAGGTAAAAATGTCACAAGTAAAATTTTTGGTGGAGAACAATACATGATTTTTTCCTTTTTTTCAGATTCCCATTGATTTGAATGGGAGCCGTCAAAATGACTGTTCTGGGAGTTCTAGTAGTTTCAGAATTCTGGGAGTCTGAGCGCTAGAAGTGTCAAACTCCTTATGGTAAGGAGCCAAAACTATAAGTGGGTCTAAGTGGAATGTTAGATATTCTGTATTACACCGGCAAGGAGTGAGATTGCAAGGATTCCTTTTTGAGCAGGGTCCCGACCCCACTGGTTAGTGCTGTGATGGGAGACCTCTGGAAACACCAGGTGCCACAGTGGGGCGGCTGCGGCTGTAAAGTGCCAAACTGCTGTTGTGTTCTTAGGCAAGACACTTCACCCACATTTCCTAGAAGGAGTCT